AGTACTAAAGTACATATCAATCCTCTAAACAAATTATATTGTTAAAAACCTGTAAATCTGTAATCATCACACTGTCTAAGGTAAATATTGGCTCAGATAGCTAATTTTCAGATCAAATTTCAGTTGAAAAGGCATGTATTCAAACTTGTCCATTGGGTCAAGCACATTTGCAAAAATATCAGATAGTTCATTTTCTCTGGGTCCCCTCAATATTTATCCAGTTTAGATTTCATAGTAGAGCCCATTTTACTTGTGGAAGCCTTGGGAGACTTCATCATGTCTTGAAGTACCAGAAATAAATCAGAAATTTCAGAGAAGAAAGTATTGGAAGTAACATACAAAGATCCAGAAATCCTTAAGGCCATTTCATAAAAACTTTCAAGAACTGACACTAAGGATTCACAATTGAGCCAATCACCAATATCATGCATTTCTGCACCTAAATCAGACCCATAACAACTCTCATTCTCCTCATATTCTTCAAAAACTCTTTCATTGGATAATGATGACTTCAACATCAGATAGGTGGAGTTCCAGCTAGTTGGGACATCTAGGTGCAGGCCACATTTGGACTCTGCTCCTATCAAATCAGATATATCCTTGAATTTTTAGAGCCTAGAAGGAGAATCCCTAACATACTTCACTACTTCCATAACCCTCACTACAGATGTATCAACATCTTTCAACCCATCTTGGACTGCCAGATTAAAGATGTGGGCAATACATCTCATGTGTAGGTACTGCACTCTAATAGGAGAAGCACCCCATGACAGAAATTTGTCTTTAAAAGTCCTATTGCAGTATCATTACTGCTTGCATTATCAACAGTCGCAGAGAATATATTCTTTAATCCCCACTCTAATAAGCAATGTTCTAGGGCCTTGGCAATGTACTCCCCTTTGTGGGAAGTGACTTGCACAAAAGAAATCACCTTTTTCTGCAACTTCCACTGACTATCTATGAAATGAGCAGTAATACACTTGCAGTTGATCCTCTGAATAGAGGTCCATGTGTCAGTTGTTATACTGACCCTTTGAGTGGTCTCTTTGATCAACCTTTTAAGGCTCAGCTTCTCATCTAGATATATTTGGTAAATGTCCCTAGCAATATTCCACCTAGAAGGGACAACAAATCTTGGACATGTCACATACACAAACTTTCTAAACCCCTGCCTCTCAACAAACCTAAAAGAAAGCTCATCAATTATTAACATTTCTGCAAGAGCTCTCCCGATTAGACTTTGGTCAAAGACCCAGGTCCCTATAACTCCAATTGTTTCTGGAGAGGTGTTTTGAGTATTAACAGCTGGTTGGAAGGTTAATAGGGCCTGTCTTGTCTCTTTAGAGTGGGTATTTTTCAGGCAACTAAGAATGTGGTTTCTCAGAGAAGAAGTTCCATGCGTTTTAGACTCACAACAGTACACCTTAGCACAATATATACATCTTCCCTTCACAAGGACTCCTTTGCTATCATACATTTTGTGAAAGTGTTCCCATATCTTGGATCTAAGTTCAACCTGTTTCCTCTTTTGTCCAACACCAGCAGTTGAAGCAATGTTCTGAGTTTGAGCTTCCACATTCTCATCTTCCACTGCAAGTTGTTGGGGTGGAGGAGGTTGAGCACCAGATACAAATAGATTTTGGAATTCCATCTATAACAAGGAATTCAGAAACTTAGGGACCTTTTCTTAGTTTCCACAATCAGAATTCAGAAAGAACAAGGAATCATTCTTTCATCATCATTCATTCATTCATTCATCATTTCAAATCATTCTCAGTCAAGGCAACCATAGAAATCAAGTCTGGAACAATCACCAAGGTGATTTACAGAATAGTATAAGCAGTAGGCTTAACAATTCTCTACAGACTTAGAAGAACCAGTCAACTCTAACTACTCAGCTTGAGTGTTTGAGTCAATCAGGTAACTTCTACAACAATAATAACCAACATGTAATAGGAAACATTCATACATATAACCTTACACAGCTTCCACTATGAAAATTCAGAAAGAAGCAATCATTCTTTCATCATCATTCATTCATCATTTCAAATCATTCTCAGTCAAGGCAGCCATAGAAATCAAGTCTGGAACAATCACCAAGGTGATTTACAGAATAGTATAAGCAGTAGGCTTAACTATTCTCTACAGACTTAGAAGAACCAGTCAACTATAACTACTCAGCTTCAGTGTTTGAGTGAATCAGGTAACTTCTACAACAACAATAACCAACATGTAATAGGCAACATTCATACATATAACCTTACACAGCTTCCACTATGACAATTCAGAAAGAAGCAATCATTCTTTCATCATCAATCATTCATTCATCATTTCAAATCATTCTCAGTCAAGGCAGCCATAGAAATCAAGTCTCGAACAATCATCAAGGTGATTTACAGAATAGTATAAGCCATTCTCAGTAGGCTTAACTATTCTCTACAGACTTAGAAGAACCAGTCAACAACAACAATAACCAATATGTAATAGGCAACATTCATACACACAACCTCAAGCAAAGACATAACAATAATTTATACATAATTATAGTTTCGGACATACATGCCAACAATACAGTTTTACTTCCACACTTCAACATTCAAGGCTGCTCGAGTCACACAATAAACAACAACTCACAAGTCAGTAAGTCAGAACCACAATTTACACACTCTTCATCAAGCAGAGAATAGAAGTTAGACCTCACGCTTGAGTGTGACTGATATGAGAGATTGGGAGACTAAGACTGAGCTTAGGTTTACCAGAAGGTCCAACCAGAAAAGGGGGAAATCGGGCAATGCTTCCACAGTTCAACTTCCGATCCGATGACTTTAGGGTTTCAACTTCAAACCAAGAACTCAAGAAGCGTGTGAGAGTAAATGACGAACACACTCAGACAGTCAGACCCTCATAGAGTCACAACTCACCATCTCTCAACCGGAGTCCAGAGAAGGAGGCACAGAGATTTGGAACAGAGGGTGAGAGTAACCGAGTAAGGTCAGCGAAGAGAGTAGTCAAAGAATCAGAGTAGAGAGATGGGGAAGGAGGCGGAAATGGGTTAGGGTTTATTAGGGGAGTATATATATAAATATATATGGGCTGGGTATTGGGCTGGGGGTTCGGGTTTTCGGACGGGTCGGTTGGGCAAAAACCAAAACCCACCCGGCCCACTAATAATTATGGATAATTCTGGGCGGGTTTCGGGTTTGATGTTCAAGTCGGTTGACCATACCCGGTCGGGTAATATCCGAAATATCCGGTCGGGTATTCGGGTTGGGTCGGGTTTTGCTCTGCCCTAAACCTACCTTCAAGTTTGAACTTCGAAACATGTAAGGCGGCAGGCGCCCCTATCGTGGAAATGGCGGTCAAGGCTTTCTCTCAGGAGTGATCAGCAATGCAAGTCGACTGTGACATAGTACTTGGGCGTCAGTCGCAAGTTGGTGGTGGCGTAGTACCTGGGTGACGACCAAGAAAAGACCGTCCATGTCAATGACTGAGTTGACTTTCGGATTCCGGGAGAATTCCTTAAGCTTCCTAGCAACCCCCTTGACTAGATCATTGTATTTTATGGCGATGGGTTCACTCGGCCATGACCTTGAACATTTTTGTTTTTTGCTTGTAGCATGAAGTTAACTGATGTGACATCTGAGTGAAGTAATTTTGAATTCATATGTTTTTTTCTATACTTTGCATTACGAATACTTTGCGATTTATTCGGGGATCCAGCTTCTCTAACCTCCCGGGGGCGGTTAGGCTGGCGTGGCCGAGCCTATCCGTGCCCCTCCCGGTCGGATAGAAGTGATATGTTCGTTGTTGATATGGAATCAACAAGTATGCGACTTGTTCGGCCAGCAAGGTTGGACATTGAACCTACGAGGAGGACCCTTAGGTCGGCATCTTGAACGTTCATGACCCGGGGGTCAGTCCTACTGTCGCTTTAACCCGTCCAATTTGCCCGGACTTGGGGAATAATCTGGTTACTCCTGCAGGGATAGCCAAACAACAGGGCAGACCCTGCACGATCCACCAGAACGGACCCGCACCGCCAACTCGGGGATGGCGAGAGTGTGAGTAGATTGGCCACCGATGTTAGGCGCACGAGCACTCAAAAGGACCCGGAGGTCAGCATCCTGAGCACCCTCGACTCGGAGGTCGGCCCTATTGTCGCCTCAACTGTCACGGTTAGCTCTTTACTTTAGAAAATTGCTCGGATTCTTGAAAATCGTTTGGCTATTTTCAGTTCAAGAGCCTGGCCGAGGTCTGCGAAACACCGAGGGGGGGCATAGTACCTTTTTTCCTTTTTTTGCCGTTTTCTTTTTTTACCGCCGCCCTTCATTGCTAAGTGAGGTCGTACCTCTTTTGAAGACAAAATTTCGTATGCAAAGTAGTAGAATTTTCATAATGTGAGTGGAACACGTTGAAGTCGTAATCCCATGCTTTGGAACTCATTGGGGTCCGATCATGAAGGGACCTTTCCCTTTGATGGGGAGCTTTCCTCTTAATATTCCGAGGCCGTTTCAGCACGGAGCTGACCCTTCTTGCGCTTTACCGCCTTGTCATTGATCACGTGGACCCTCAAGTCCTTCTGACCGATTTGTTTGCAAGCTTTCAGATAGCAGCTCCTCGCCATCTGCTGGTCTCCCCTGGCAACTCCGACGCCGTTCAGAGTGGGGAACTTCATGCATAAGTGCTCATGGGATATCACACACCTCAGGTCTTCCAGGTTCGGCCTCCCCATGATGGTCTTATGCGCACAAGTTAGGCTTACGACGATAAATAAAGGCACGATCACGTCAGGATGAGATTCCGGCCATCTTCCTTTGTGATTCCTACTCGAGCGATGTGAGAGACAATAGAGGCTCTCAATGAAAGCACCAATGTTGGTCCAAAATAGGACGCTCGTAGGTTTTTAGGAAAGCTACGTAAGAAGTAAGAACACTCAATAAGGAATTAGGAAAGTAATATGAATAAGGAAAGTTGCTAAGAGGTTTTAGTTGCCAAGAATAGCGTGTCTATTATTTGAATCGGACTTGCCTTTTATAGGCGATTACGAATGATAACTTCCAAAGATACTAATTTCAAGTTAATTACAACATTAATACGGAATTAAATACATAATTAAGTGGCACATTAACTGCTCTGGTCGTTACTGTTCTTGGCTGGCAGGTTGGACGCTTGATCTCCCTCCTGCAGGACTGGACGGCGGGCTCCTGGCCGACCTGTAAGGTAGACTCTTGGCTGGCGTGGAAGGCAGGCTCCCTGTCAGGCTGAACGGCAGGCTCCCCACCGGGCCGGAGGCCGGCTCCTGGCTGGCCTGGAAGGTAGGCTACCCGCTGGGCTGGAAGACAGGTTCCCTACTGGGCTGGACGTAAGGCTCCCCATCGGGATGGAGGCAGGCTTCTGGATGGGCTGGAAGGCAGGCTCCCCGTTGGCTTGGAAGGCAAGCCGTCTTGGGCTTCCGGATGGGCGTGATCGGTTGGGTCGGCTTCAGCTCTGGGTCGCTGGGCTTGGGCCTGCTGGTCCAAGTTCAGGGCCTGGGTCGATTAGGCTCTGCGCCTAGTCCTATAACCCCATGACGGAGTTTTAGCAACGCAAAAGCGGGAAGAAATCCATCTTTTATTTGGAGAATCATATTCGAGGGACAACAAGTGGTGGTAGCTGGTACCAGAAAGCGTGTCAGGGGTAGGAATTGATATTCAAGTTTGGGCCAATGCTTGGTTACCTGGACCTGGATCGGGGTATGAAAGATATGGATGTGGCTGCTTTACTTAATGAGGATTGGAAAACTTGAAACGAGGAAAGGTTTAACCATATTTTTAATGAGGAAGACCGAGAGAAAATTCTAAGCATCCCTATTAGTCATAGAAGAGTCAAGGACGGGATTTACTGGGCAGATGATATCAGAGGAGTTTATTCCGTATGGAGTTGTTAGGTTGGTGAGTTTCAGCCAACCTATTGGATGGGGTGGACTAGAATGTGGGGTTTTGAGTTGCCTCCTAAAGTTAAATTATTTTTTTGGCAACTAATGATAGGATGTTTACCTGAGGCGGATAAACTCATGAAACGGGGAGTAGTAAAAAGACCACCTCTTCTTATTGTGTTCCAAGGCTCAAAGGTTTGGCAAAGGCTGGGAGGTGCCTTTTCTCGGGCAGAAGGTACATTTTTAGAGTGGATCATAAATTTGTTTAATACAATTGACGAAGAGGGTTGTTGCACAGCTATCATAAATCTATGGAGTTTGTGGAAAAGGAGGAACAACTCAGTGATGCATGGTTGGAGACAAACAAGGAATGTGCGAGGAGCAGCGGTAGGGAGGGAGAAATCTAAGACAAGATGGGGGAAACCCCAACAAGGTAAATGTGGATGCAACTTTAGATGATGGAAGATGAACGAGAGCGGTAGGATGAGTGGCTCAAGACAATGAGGCCGTGTTGTCAAGAAGGCAATATGGGGATTCTTCATGTCTTACATATCGCGGCAGCAAGAGGTTGGGAGCTCGTGGAAATCGAATATGAAGCTTTAGTGGCGGTTAACGCCTTAAATGCGGAGTCAGGTTCACCTTATTTTGAGTTGATTTTGGATGACATTCGAAGTTTATTACTCAATACCAATTCTAGGCGTGTTTGGAAATGATTGTGTTTCTCCTTCTTTTTAAAGCAAAATCAGAATCAGTTTTCAGAAGGTGGTCTTCCCCAGCTTCTAAAAAAATTGCTTCTAGGAGTAAATTAGAGCACCAGAAGTACTACAACACTTTCACTCAAACACTCGAACTTCTGTTTCTGCTCCTTGAAGGAGCAGACGCAGTTTTAAGAATCAGATCCCAACACCCCCTTAGAGTGAATTACTATAATAGGTAGGGTATAAATTTCTTTGTCAGACCGTGAAGACAGATTTAGGGGCTGTTTGGATCTGCGTTTAGAAATTGATTCTGCCGTCCCAATGAGCACTTTGAAGCAGAATCAGTTTTGAAGGTGTTTGGATCTGATTTTAAAAGTGATTTTAAATGGCTGAAAATCAGATTTTTAGAATCTGGGTAGTAGCAGCTTCTCCAAAACAGCTTCTGATTCTTCTAATTTTATTCCGGAAACCCCCCCTCAATATACGATGCACACCAAGTTGAACAAGGGCATTTGTCTTCTTCGCATCTTAGGACAGGCCAGAGCTCTTCCCACCTGCGCTGCGTAAGAGCTTCTTCTCTGCCGATTTCTAGCATGCGACTCTTCTCTGATCTTCTCTGTTCCACAGCCCAGGTAAACCGGTGAGCTCTTCTCTTCTCTTCTATTCTGGAGTTGTGGATTTTTATTTTTAGTACAACTAATTTATTACGTTATAATTAATTTTATTTGGATTATATTATTCAAGTAAATTTATTTTTTCTAATATCTCTATCTTAACCTATGCAAATAACAATATTATTTTATATTACAAGGAATGCCTAATATATATGCCCTTTTGGTAAATTTACATCAAAAGCAGTTTTCAAAAGTAAACCATCCAAACACTCTAAACCGATTACATACAATAAAATCAATACCAAACACTCCAAACAGAATCACTTTTCCAGACAGCAGAAATTTTTTATTCTGCTTCTCACTTAAAAAAGAAGCATAATCAGAATCAGTCCAAACACCCCTTTAGTCTTCCCCCAAATGTGATTGTATGACACTTGACAAATGACCTTTTAAATTAATACATTGATGAATTTACCACACACAAAAAATAGTACTAAAGTAGATTTAAAGATAACAATAAATGAAGGGTCTCATTGAATTATCAGGGGTCTTCCAATATTAATCCCAACTAGTATTTCACCCGTGCGTTGCACGGGATGAAATATGCACCTATTATAAATATTAATTTTAAAGCATTTACAAATCATATTATTATTTATCATACTAATAAGAAAGTGTAATTATATAATCCAAAGTAACAAATATTAGAAGTTGTATAAGCACACAAATTGCAAACTAATGAAAACCTTATAGACAACATTTTTGTATTTTTTTAATTTCTTTCTTCGTCACATTTCTTCGGCTACATCGAAAAGTGGGATCAAACCAGAGTGATCCCCGATTTTTTTATAGATTCGGGTTCCAATCTGATTCAAACCTTGGAATGTTCCCGTTTGAATCGGTTGAACCGGATTAAATATTATATTATTTCTACCCCTTAAAACTTTGTCATTTCATAAATTTTGGACCATGATTTTGATTAGTATAATATTATAGAAGTTACAAATTTTATTCTTTAAGTTTATGAAAGTACCTTTAACAATAAACATTTTCATTTTATTTTTATATTATAAATAATTTTCAAAAAATATATAATTGGTCAAAGTTTAAAGATGACAAAATATATGGGACAAAGATAGTATATGTATGTGCGTGTGTGTGTATATATATACATTAAAAGTTGTATAAATACTAAGTGATAAAAGTGCTTTAGACATTACCTCAATTTGCAGATTACTTACACACTTACACGACTAAAGTTGTATAATAAAAAAATATTAAAAGCTAGGTGGATGCATTGTATGTACTTATTTTGACAATATTTCATATCATGATCAATTGAATTGTTATTTATTGAATATGCAAAATTAATGAGTCAAAACATTAGCTTTCAGGGAAACTAATTTCCACAAAACATTGCTATTTAATTTCAATTTTGAAACGTAGTTTTTTTTTAATTTCCACTTGTCAGGCATAGCCGCATAGGTTACGATAAAATGATTAAATGTACTATTATTATTACGGAGTATTATTTTGAAAAATCATTATCTTATTAATAAAATAGAAAATACATGGAAAAATGTACATCTGTTCAATCTAGAAAAATAGAAAACTTTGACTCTTCAATGCAAAAGGATTACATTTTTTTATCTAGAAAAATGTCCTTTAGTCATATGCTACGTACAACATCGTACAACATAAGGAATAGAAAAATACAAAACAATAACATTCTGGATCCTTTGGGAGTTCCCCGATGTCTTCAAAATCTTGGCAACAATCTTTTAATAATGAGATAATAGAGAAGTTCGGGTTACTTTCAGCAAGATGAGAGTAGAATGCGTGTCATTGTATAGTTCCTAAGAAGTAATGACACGCATTACTTCTCAGGAATGCGTGGGCGACCTGCGGACACGAATGCCGTCCAAAAATCTATCTCTCAAACAGAAGTGCTCCGGACAGAAGGTCTCGAACAGAACCCCTCGAAGGGGTGTTCTATTGGCTTCGGACAGAAACCCTCCAAGGGGAGTTCTGTTGGCTTCGGACAGAAACCCTCCAAGGGGTGTTCTGTTGGCTTCGGACAGAAACCCTCCAAGGGCTGTTCTGTTGGGGTCTTCTGTCGCGCATTTCTTCCGTTACAACAATTAATGCCCAACGTTCTTCTCTTTTAATGCTGTGTTAAATGGACAGTTTATGGACGATTCAATGCCCAACGGACTGGTCATTGATGTCCAACGTTCAGGTCCATTAACACCCCATTTAACACACAACAAATCCTCCTATAAATAGCTGGCAGGTGCTTTGCAATGTGTGGCATGGTAGACTAGGACATGTTAATTTTAATTCTATACGTAGATTAATTAACATGGAGCACATTCCTAAATTCACAATTGATGTGAAGCACAAATGTGAAGTTTGTGTAGAGGCAAAACTAACGAAAACGTCTTTCAAATCGGTTGAAAGAAAAACGGAACCACTTGAATTAATTCATAGTGATGTTTGTGATTTTAAATCAATACAAACACGTGGCGGTAATAAATATTTTATTACCTTTATCGATGATAGCACTCGCTATAGCTACGTTTATTTATTAAAAAATAAACACGAAGCAATCGATAAATTCATTCTTTATAAGAATGAAGTGGAAAACCAACTTAATCGACGGATTAAGACGGTTAGGAGTGATCGAGGTGGTGAGTATGAAGCACCAATTGGTGACTTTTGCGCTAGTGTGGGTATAGTACACGAACGTATCGCACCCTATTCACCTCAATCAAACGGTGTTACCAAACGAAAGAATCGCACATTGAAAGATATGATGAACGCGATGCTAGTAAGTTCGGGCTTGCCACAAAATATGTGGGGCGAAGCAATCTTGACAAGCAATTACCTTTTAAATAAGGTTCCCCGGAAAAAATATGATAAAACTCCGTACGAGTTGTGGAAAGGCACACGACCTTCCTATCAATATTTAAAAGTGTGGGGGTGTCTTGCTAAGGTGCTTGTACCAACACCTAAGAAAATAAAAATAGGTCCAAAAACGGTGGATTGTATTTTTATTGGATATGCACAAAATAGTAGTGCGTATCGATTTTTAGTGTACGATTCGAATAATCCGGATGTACATAAAAACACAATAATTGAATCAAGGAATGCTTCATTCTTTGAAGATGTATTTCCATGCAAGTCCAACGAAGGGCCTAGCACGTCAAAACGAACATTTGACGTAGCTATGGAAAATACTAGCGAGGGATCCAAAGAAGAACCCGAACCCAGACGTAGCAAACGTGCTAGAATTGAAAAATCCTTCGGACCGGATTTTCTCACCTACCTGGTAGAAGTTGACTCGGATATTCTAACCTGTATGGTAGAAAATGAACCGGATTTTCTAACATGTTTGGTAGAAAATGAACCACGGACTTATACGGAAGCCGTGACGTCTACTGAAGGTCCTATGTGGAAAGAAGCCATCAAAAGTGAGGTGGATTCTATCCTTAAAAATCACACATGGGAATTGGTTGATCTTCCTCCGGGAAATAAACCTTTGGGATCCAAGTGGATTTTTAAACGGAAAATGAAACCTGACGGTTCTATCGATAAGTACAAGGCCAGACTTCTGATCAAGGGATACAAGCAACGTGAGGGCCATGATTACTTTGACACGTATTCTCCTGTGACGAGAATAAATTCCATTAGGATGATACTAGCAATTGCCGCATTGCGGAAATTGGAAGTTCATCAAATGGACGTAAAAACCGCTTTTCTAAATGGCGATATAGACGAAGAAATCTATATGGAACAGCCCGAGGGCTTTCGTGTTCCAGGCCAAGAAAGGAAAGTGTGTAAATTAATTAAATCATTGTATGGATTGAAACAAGCCCCTAAACAGTGGCACGAAAAGTTCGATCATGCAATGTTAATTAATGAGTTTAAAATAAACGAAAGTGACAAATGCGTCTATGTGAAAAGCACGGTAGACGGCTATGTCATTTTATGTTTATACGTGGATGATATACTCATCGTGGGTAGCAATAATCTAATGATTAATTCTACCCAAAGCATGTTAAATTCTAAATTTGACATAAAGGATATGGGGATGGCCGATTTAATCCTTGGGATTAAAATAATTAGAGGACCTGACGGTCTTACGCTAAGCCAATCTCATTACGTTGATAAAATCCTTACGAAATTTAATAAGGATGATTATCAAGAGGCAAGGACTCCATTAGATAAAAACGTACAACTTACCAAAAATCGTGGAGAGTGTATTTCTCAAGTAGAATACGCTAGGATTATTGGAAGCTTGATGTATCTAATGAGTTGTACCAGGCCTGATATTGCCTTCGTGGTTAGCAAGTTGAGTAGATATACTAGCAACCCCGGTGCTGAACACTGGAAGGCAATAGTAAGGGTTTTGAGGTATTTACGTAAAACCCAAAACCTTGGACTGCACTATGGAAGATATCCAGCTGTACTTGAAGGGTATAGCGACGCTAGTTGGATATCCGACATAAAGGACTCTAAGTCCACAAGTGGATATGTTTTCACTTTGGGAGGTTGAGCCGTATCATGGAAATCCTCAAAACAAACGTTAATAGCTAGATCCACGATGGAGTCTGAGCTAATAGCCTTGGATAAGTGCACTGAAGAGGCTGAATGGCTACGCCATTTTCTTGAGGATATTCCAAGTTGGGAGAAGCCTGTCCCTCCAATATGCATACATTGCGATTGTCAAGCGGCAATTGGAAGGGCACAGAGCAATCTCTACAATGGTAAGTCTAGACACGTTCGTCGTAGACATAACACCATTAAACAACTCCTCACAACGGGTGTTATCACTGTTGACTACGTGAAGTCAAATGATAACATAGCGGATCCGCTAACCAAGGCATTGGATAGAGAATTGTTAGAGAAGTTGTCACGAGGAATGGGACTAAAGCCCGTGAATTGAAAAGTTCTATAGTGGATACCCAACCTAGTTGGTCCTAGGTTCAAA